ATAATAATAATAATAATAATAATAATAATAATAATAATAATAATAATGATAATAATAATAATAATAATGATGATAATGATAATGATAATAATAATAATAATAATGATAATATGTACACATTCACACACAAGTACACATATGTGAACATAAAATACATGTATACGTGTCTACACATGCAAACATCATCGATAAAAGACCAGAGAAGCTGAAACACAATAAAAGTGGTGTCAGAGAGATCTGAAAGCCTTGGAAAATAGGGAGGTCTTCAGATTCAATTTGAAGACTTCCAAGGATGAAGAGGATTTTATAAAAGAGGGAAGATTGTTCCAGAGTCTCGGCGCGGCATTAGAAAAAGCCCTGTGACCTCTAGATTTGAACTGGGAGCGTGAAACTAATAAAGGCATCTGACTGGAGGAGCACAGAGTTCGAGTGGGTAGGTGCAAGCTAAGAAACGAACAGTAATGATAATGTAGAGCCAATAATGCATTAAAAAAACTAAGACGAGATCAGCAGGTATCAAAACAAACAAAAACAAAGAAAAAAACCCCAAAAGACAAAAATATCAATAAAAAGTACTCATTAAACATTAAGATACCAATTTATGTTGCACGTGAATATTTACCTTCATCTCAGCAAATAAATTAAATAATAAATAATAAGGACATTCGTCTCCACCAAAACCCACTATTGTGTGTCTAATTTGATATTTAAGTTGGTTGGATGAATCTAAACAAAAATAATTTTAAAAAAAGGGGGGGTCACCTCATCGACACTCTGCGCTTCTGGGAGCTCAGGTCTGAGTAAATGGCCTGTATTTGTATAGCGCTTTACTCAGTCCCTAAGGACCCCAAAGCGCTTTACACTACATTCATACACACTGGCAATGGCAAGCTACATTGTAGCCACAGCTGTCCTGGGGCGCACTGACAGAGGCGAGTAGTGCAGCATCTCTGGTGGATCCCTTTGTGGGCGGCGTAAAAGTGCCATGATGCCATTCTGGAAGGCTGCTTGCACACTTGCATACACAATCACCTGAAGAAGATATACAGAAAAAAGGCCTTGGAGCTTGAAGGTGCTGTGCAGCATCTTTTCTGTTCCTAGGACTGCGCTCTTCTGGACAGAGACCTGTTCTATTAATCTTATCCATCTATAGAAAGCTCTATAATGTGAATAAGGTAACAGTTTTTACCACAGTAGCAGGCATGGTGGTGAGCAGGACTGGGATCTGCAGGGTAACCGGAAGATCTTTGAGGAGCACTCGAAGAAATTCACTGAATCCCTGACCGAAGTACTTCAGTGGCTCTGTGATGAAGGTTGTGATGGTAAATAAGATTGCCTAAACAGAGAAGCATGACTAGGTTATAAAACTGTACATACATATAGAAAGTCAACACTCATACAAAGGAACACAGTTTAGGAAGACTTTGCATGGAAGAACATATAGCAGTTAGAAAAAGGTAGAAAAGTGGCAAACGTATGTGTCAGCTTAATAGTTAGAAAGCAAAGCAATGAGGTTTCAGCCATATCGGATGTGATTTAAACATTGGTTTGTAGGGAAGAATGGTTATTCACCAACTGGTCGCTGGGTGAAATCGGTGCAAAGAAGGCGCTGTACCACAGACCTCCTTGTGACAACTTTGGTTTTCAGCCGGTTGCCACAGTGGCTGAAAGTTTTCACATCTGTCTGTAAATACTTGCTAACTAATAGCCGAGAAGTTGCACAACTTGAAAAAGTGATGGTTTGCCTTCAGAGTAAAAGTTGTGCTTCAGTGCTGCAGTTAAGATGTTTCAAAAGGCACAACTTTTACTTTTTATCTCACAACTAGTGGTTGTTGCATGGTCGTGAGCAAGTCTCCAGGTCTGTGTGTCTGGCAACTGATTCACAAACTCCTTCACTATCAACATGTTTGTCACATGTCCAAAATGGTAGACAAGTTTAAATCATGTGTTTAGTAGTGATGTGTCTGCAAGACCTCAATAACTTGAACAGAGTGACCTACCTTGATTGGTGATACCAACAAAAGAGGGTCAATTACAAGAACTTCATAGTATCTCTTACAGGGGTCATCTTGAAGAGTCCAGGTGCTTCTAAACCACTCTGCAGGATATCAAATACAGGCCTAAGCTTAGGCAGACGTTATGCGCTAAATATGATTAATATGTGCAAAACAGCAATGCTGGAGACTAAAACTATTAAAACAGCTGAGACTTCAGATTTTGCACAATGACTGCAGAGGGACTTGTCGTTAAATTCCTCTCCATCTCATGGCTGTGCAGTGAAATGTATTTCAAAATGATATTTAATACGCTCTAAAAATAAAAATAAAAAGGAAAAATAAGTTTTTTTCTCAGCCGGTTAATATTTTAGATATAGGAGGTTTTCACAGAATACCAATGCTATGTCTGTTCAACACTGGCAGTGGCATACCTTTCAAACTGTCAATCCAATCCATTTTCTCCACTCCAGTGCATTTTGCATTGAAACTCTCCATCTTCACTATATTACTTTGATGCTCAGCAAAGGCAATCTGAACAAAATATACATATTTATTAAAAACATCTTATTTTACAGTCAAAACACTGAATTACAGTTGAACTGAAACCACTGAAAACTGCAGGGGCTCCTATTTACCTTGTACAGGTAAAACCAGTTCCAGATAACACTGACGAATAAGCAGAAAGCAAACAGTTGTTGGAACAGCACAAACCAGGAGATCTTTGTCCGCAGCTGGAGCGTGATAATGACTACTATAACCAGGATAAATAACACGATCTGGAGAACGGAGCAGAGAACAATTTAAGTGGTTACAGAAAATAGAAACCATTAAAACACAGCAGACACATTAAGAAAAGTCAAAACAGAAGGGGGTCAAAGGTAAAAGCTACATTTGGTTTAAAAAGAAAATGTTCTACAGCAGACATGTTTTTATATCTGCGCTGACAACTTCTCATGTAACCATACTGAGTGTACATGAAATCAACAGACAGTTCTTCTTGTTCATGGAGACAATACTAGACAAGAGATTTGGGGGGAGTTGGCCTCTAACCAGAGAAAGTGGAGTCACAGTAATAAAGACTGAGATTACTTTCAATAATGTATGCAGCTCCACCCCAAAGGTGTCTTCAAATGGCCACTTCCAGGCCCCATAATCATGCGGTTTAACCTCCACAAGTATCTGACTGATGGCATTGTCCAGGGCGCCTGGTCTACATCTGTCTTCACTCTCCAGATGTGCCTGGATCTCCTCCATGGCTTTTTTGGACATTTTGAGTTTGGCATCATAAAAGGCATCTGTGGAGTCACTGGGCTGGAGAGAAATGGGAGAAGTGTCTTAAATTGCACATTTTTTTCCACCACACTTATAAATTATTAATTGAGAGAGTAAATATGATAGCACAACATGTTCGACTGAAATCTCATAACTCAACATAAAACATGAGATGACCACCTACCACACCAGCTCTTTGTATTGCCTTCAACAGTCTGCTAAGAAATCTCTTGAACACTGGGCTGCATGTTGGCTGCTGTGAGATGAGCTCGATCGTCTTCTTATGATCTTCAATCTGAATGAAGGCAGGGCAGAATATCTGAAGTGCCTGTACTGAATAAATTCCTATTTCCCAGTCAAAGCTTCTGGGATTATGGGAAAGACCCCAGGTTCTCTTCTAAGACTGGTTGGTGGTGTAAGGATCTGAATGATATCTTCTCGATACACTTTGAGCCCGGTAATAACACTTCACCATCATTTAAACATCTCAGCGTAGTCTTGTTGCTAACCACTGTGCAGCCCCACAGAAGTATGCCATGAGAAATCATCAGGTGTGCCATGGAAGATTATCCAATTTCACCAGATGGGTATTCTAAGGGAGCAGCATGTAGTAATAGGCAGAGAAATTCCATTCTCTTCCACTAGAGGGCAGTGCAACATCTTGCACAAATTAAGAGGGTTGCCAACCGCCAGTAAAACAGAAGAAGGGTCGCAGGTAATAGCGATGGATAAATATCTGAAAATAAAAAAGTAGTGAATGTGACCTGAGTCCTGGAGAAGACTCAGATGAAGGCCCTGAAGGCATGAGCAGTGGTCAGAAAAAAAACAAAAGGAGAGCTCAAGATAATACAATGAAACTCATCTTGCCATTAGATTCACAAGTACCGGAGAACCAACCAAGCCAATTCCACTGTGCCTGCTGCTGAAAAACTGTCAAACAGTGCCAAGGTTCCAAGCAGTGGTGGTCCTAGCCTGTTTGGCGCCCCGGGTGAAACACACACACACACACACACATAAAACATATTAAGGATTGTACATGAACATAAAACTGTTGTCGGAACCACACTGAATTTCACCAGAGAAACTGTTACATCCTGTGAGGCTGTGGGAGTGTGTGGGCGTGGTGTTGTCCTCTCCCTCTCCTCCTCCTTCTTTATTGCCCCTCCCCTGTCTCTCTCTGCCCCTGCCTTCTCCTTTTAGGGCACACCTGCTGCTCATCTGCCCTCGTTTACCACCAATTACCCTCAGAGGTGACATAAGCTGGTTATTGTTAATAGCAGCGTTGCTGTCTTTTTCTGTTGAAGCCTTATAGTTGTTTTCTTTGTTGAAGTGGTCACTATCTCTTTGGGTTGACCTGTCTGATTTATCATTAAAGCAGCAGTGCTGTCTCTTTTTGTTGTTACTATTTATATGTTTATTGAGGTAATTGATTATAATAAAGATATATTTTGTGTTAACTACCCCTGCCTGGTGTTCTTTTCATTTCAACCCAGATCCAACTGTTACTGCCCCCCCATCCTCATCGCCTAGATTTTATGTGGGGACGTAACAGAAACACACACATATGAAGAGAGAGAGAGTATGCATTACATGCAAACGGCTACCAAACAGCCATCATAATTCATCATACAATGAGAACAGGACAAATCAACAATAGACAATAACTAATTAATATTAATATCTGTAACATAATGTATTGTTTGGAGTTTAGTCTGTTACTGTTACTATTTTTACCATTTCTTCTTGGAGCAACTGTAATCCACATAATTTCCTTAGGGATTAATAAAGTATTCTGATTCTGATTGTTTCAGGATGACCTGCCATTATCCAATCACACA